ATGCTGGACAATCTGTTCTATTTTGAGTGTCATGCATTTAATTTGTGATAGACTGAAACCTTGGACATAGCCCCTGGAACTATGTTCCAATTTGAATTGTGAATTATGATGGGAGCTTTTCATAAAGAAGATGATTCTTTATTCTTCCTTCAAAATGTGCAAAGAAAATGTCATTTGTGAGGTATGCATCCTTTTTTTAACTTATTGGTTTATCTTGTTCAACCAAATTGTGGTGCATTTGTGTGGTCTAATGTATCTTACAGGATAATTTAATATACTAAAGTTTGATACTGCAAGTCACAATTATTTCACGTAAAATATATGAAAATTTTCATTCCTCTATGTTACCTGTATATCCAGGTAGACAGACACAAACATAACCACGCCCAAGTTGTTGGCAGGTTCCACCATTGTGGCAAGGGTTTAAGAAGCATTCATGGAAAACCTACCAGAAGCAAAAAAGAAATCTATCAAAGACGAAGCACTCTATTCATTTCAAAGCAACTCTGCCTAGGGAGTCAGAAAGTTTGCAACATTCGATAGCTGATTCCTATTTCCAGGTAAGTTTGCTCAAGCTAGCTAGACTGTGGCCTGAATAGCTTTGGTGCTTGCCATATATGGGCACAAACAATATATTAATATATTATTCTTTTTTAATCTTAATAGATTTAGGTGGTACAAGTGTTTTTTGTTACATGGATGAATTGTATAATGATGAAGTCAGGGCTTTCAGTGTACCCCACACCAGAATGATGTACGTTGTACCTGACAGGTAGATTTTTATCCCTCATGCCCTCCTACCTTCTTAGTTTTCAGTGTCCATTATAACACTTTATGACTATATATATATATATATATATACCTCATTTAGCTCCCACTTATTAATAAGAACATGTGGTATTTTTACTCTTGAGTGATGTTCTGGTAAACCAAAGCAGTGTTTCTAAACATTGGTTGCACATTGGAACCCATTTGACATGTTTTAAAAATATACTAAGGACGGGGTCCCAACACAGATCAGCTAAACCAGAATCTCTGGAAGCGAAACCTGTACATTATTATTTTTTAAAGTTAGCCAGAAGATTCTATTATACCTCCAGGTTTGAGGGTCAATACTTTAGGGATTCCCACAAATTTCTATGTCCATTAGGCTCAGTTTCGAACATGACTTGCAAAGTCCTAATAAGTCATTATGTTTGGATGAAGCTATAGGAAGTTGAAATAAAAAAAAAACAAAACTTCGTTATCCTTAAAAACACTAAATGCCAAGGAATTCATGACATTGGGCAAGATGAATTCAGAATAATAGCTGAATCTACAAAAATAATCATATTTAACAACTAGTCTTTAAAAAAATGAAAAGTAATTGGTTTAGTTATGTTAATGTTTCTTAATGTTTTAAACTTATATACCTTATTCCAAGAAATTGTTATTATTTTTCTATTGGCAAAGAAATGTAAATAATTCTCATGAAACTTGAGTAACTTCCTGCAAATCAGAAAAGGCATTTGGCTAAACTGAGTGCCCTTATTCACATGATGGGTTCTACTTGTGATAAGTGTTAATGATTAGTGAATCAAAAGGCTCCCACATCTACTCATTCTTGTTGCCAGGCCAGACATTGCTGGGAAAAACTCCCATTTTTGGTACTTAGAACATCTAATGTTGAATTTTTGGGAAGTTCTTAATAGGATTCATAAGTAAACACAATTATTCATTTATAATATTCATGAGTCTTGACGACTTAAAGTTTTAATCCTGGTAGTTTTCCTCTGTGTGACCCGTAAAATGACTAAGTTTCTTTTCAAGCATTCTACTGGAGAAAATTTTATACAAAACAGACTTGCCTGACTGCTGACTTCATACTTCTTTTTGATATGTCCAGGAGAGGCCAGGGGCACTATACTTTCCTCTGCTGCTGAGAAAGTGGAGCTAAAACCTAATAAATTAATAGAAAAATATGTCAAGGGGTGGTAGATATTGCCAATAAGTAGACTATATTTAAATATTGTGGTCAAGATTCCAGCTTTCAGAGCAGGTAAAGCCATATATATTTTGTTTCAGCAATATTTAAAATTAAGAGAACATAAAGATAGATGGTATATGCCATTAAATCCTAGATGCTTAGAAAAGAAATTTGGAAATTGTCAAGTTCAATGTTTTCAAAACAAGACTCTTTGAGTTATTGCCATTAAAAACATCTCAAAAGGACAATTTAACAAGTCCAGAACCCAAATCTACTGCAATTAGTAATATTGAGAACTGAAGCTACCACAGAGAAGCAAAAGTAAGTCTCCAATATGGACTACATATGAAATGAAGTATCTATCATCTTACTTGAACAATCTGTGATGGATCTGGCACCAGTGATAGTCGTAGTTCCATAAAAGGGACAAGACAGGCAGAAGGACTTCCCTGGATTAGGCTGGTAATAGTCTTGAGGACATGGATAACAGGGCATTAACCCAGAACGCGAGAATTCCCCTACTGGACAAGGTACTGCAAAGGTACAAACAAATCATTTGTGCATATAAAGCCACACACCCTACATTTAAAAGAAATGCCTTAACCTTTGGTTGTAAGAAAACTATTGTGTTACTTACACAATCCCTTCCACATATTTAACACCCATACCATCTTGGCACCCAGGTAAATGTTTTGTTGGGTTTCCCCTGTCTTTACTAATACACATCAACTTAATAAAGATTAGAATTGGCTATATAATATTACATTCTGATTTTTCCATTTAACATTATAGCACAAGCATTTCCCAAATCATTCCCCAGATCACTAAATAATGTAGATTTTAATAAATGAAAAATATTGCATCCCACTGACAGACTATAATTGATCTAACATTTTCTCCACTATTGTATATTCAGGTTGTTTTGACTTGTTTGCTATTATAAATTATGCTGAAATAAAATTTTCTACATAAATCTTTGTATATAGGTCTGATTATTTCCTTGGAATAATAGTTGAATCTGAATAGCTGAATTTGAGTAGTTGAATAGTTAAGTCTAAAGATATGAAAAAAATGAAAGCCATTGACATATAATGCCAAAACATTTTTTTTAAAAAAAGGTAGTTCCAATTTACACTCCCATTAGGAGTGTATGAAATCACTCTTCTTGCTGTTCGCTCTTTAGTAATGAGAATAATTAATTTGTTTTTCAAGGTGAAAGTGGAATTTTGGTTATTTCAATTTTGCATTTTGATAATAAATGAAGCTGCCTTTAAAATACTTATTAGAAATGTTATTTTGTCAGTGTAGTTGTCTATTATTTATTGGGAATCTTTTATAATGTTCCAATTTGAATTGTGAATTATGATGGGAGCTTTTCATAAAGAAGATGATTCTTTATTCTTCCTTCAAAATGTGCAAAGAAAATGTCATTT